GGGAAAGGAATAGACATGTGTTTTCCAACAAAACATGTTTCCTTAAACTATGCTAAGCATTACCTTAATATATACAAAAACATAGTTTTTTCGTTTTTTTTTAATTTTTAAGAAGCTATTTTTATCGAAAAATGATTTTAAATATACCAAAATTCATGATTTTTTATTCTCTACAAATAGACATCAATATTGATATAGTTTTAAGATAAAATAATTTTTTTTTTTATATTTTCAGCTATCGTTATTCATAAGTGAATAAAAATGAATCAGGTTTTTACTACAGTACATTCATTATTCACTTATAAATAAAAACTATGATTAATTTTTTTTAAAATTTAAGTATCATTCATATATGAATATAGCATATAATAAACATAGTATATTCATATTTAAATATTAGACGATGCATTCACTTGTCAATATTACATAGTATATTCACTTGTGAATATTAGATGGTATATTCACTTATTAATATTATATAATATTTTCATATCTGAATATTACATAGTATTACATGCTGTATCACATGTGAATATTACATAGTATATTCACTTGTGAATATTAGATGATATATTCACTTATGAATATTACACAATATATTCACATATGAATATTACAAGGTATTTTCACAAATATATATAATTTTTATATGTTATTCACATATAAATAACATACAGACTTGCATATTTGGTTTCTTTGTTTTAATAATCATATACTGATTCAGGTGAGAAAACATATTCATATATGAATATAACGTTGTAATTTAGTTTATGCATTTCATCAAACAGTTGGAGTGCATACAATTTAACTTTTTTAAAAATGTTAAAAACATGATACTTTGACTATTTAAATCTTACAAAATAGTAGATTGATAGAGAATTATATGAAATTCTTCAAAAAAAAAACGATTTGATCTTTTTCTAACCTCAATTTTGAAGTTTTATTTGATAATCGATGTTGAATGAATGATATGAAGTGGATTTTTTGTTGATTATCGATGATGTTGAAGATCTGATCGTATTCAAGCAGAATTGAAGGTTAGATTAAAAGAACCAAAAACGAATTTTTGTTGTTAACTGTTGAATCGTGTTGATAAACATGTTATTGACGAAGATCGATGATTGATTAACACTTGATGATGTTGATGATTATTTAATTGAAGAAATCTGGATGATTGTTGAAGGTTGGAGGAGAAATTTGGATGATGAACGATCGATTAGAAATGGGTTTGAACTGTTATCTATTTCTATACAGTTACCTATTTGAGATTGAAGGTTATTATCATATTTACAATGCTTAGATTAAATGAGTGGCTGAAAATGATTTCCCATTCTCAACCTTTTTTATTTTCTCAATTGAACCCACTTCTCTCTCTCTCTCTCTCTCTCTCTCTCTCTCTCTATATATATATATATATATATATATATATATATATATATATATATATATATATATATATATATATATATATATATTAAGAAACTAAAAAATAAAATAAAATGTTATTAACAATTAATTTAACTGATAGAGATAAATAAATAAAAAACATTATTTACATTAATCAACTATGCATGCAAGAAAACAGAAGTTCAATTCCTTACCAGAAATGAAGAAATAGCGGAACAATGTTAGAATCGAATAACACCGTGATTTCATCTTCATTGTAACAAGTCTTGAAATTCTGTGCAACCTTGAAATAACACACAATGATGTATTGCAACAAAAAAGAACGCATTAAAAGGTTAAAGAAGTCCCGCTTACGTATTAATTAGTTAAATTCAACGTGGAAGGAACTATAATATCAAAAGAGTCATGATTATGCCTTTATATAATGTAGACCTTTAGACAACCAATGTAGAAGTTGACATACATGTGTTATATGGGAAAGATTTATTAAATATATTGCATTGCTTAAAGCCTTAAAATTATCCCATAAAATCGTGATTATATATATAATTGGAATCGATTTATTTTTCACTTTTTGGTAAGTAAGTTGTCATACAAGAAGTTATATAAGTAGGGATGTGCTTCGGGCCGGAACCGACCCGAACCCGAATAACCCGAAACCCGAATTGGACGAAAAGTGGGAACCGAAACCCGGACCGATTATACTAATATGGATCGGTTCGGTTCGGGTAATACGAGTTTCGGTTCGGTTATTAACCCAAAAGGACTGAAATAACCCAAACAAACATTTACACTATGTTTTTGAACCGAATAACCCGAATAAACCGAAATGAGCCGAATAACCCAAATAAGGAAATTCTATATTTAGTTCAAGAAAAAAAATATTAAATTAATGTTTTTTTCTTGAACTAAAAATAGAATTTCCTTATTTGGGTTATTCGGGCCATTTCGGTTTATTTGGGTTATTCGGGTCATTTCGGTTTATTCGGGTTATTCGGTTCAAGTGACTATTTATTTTCCGGGTCGGTCTTTTTGGCCCGATTAAACATTTATTCGGGTAATCCGGACCGAAAAACCCGAAACCCGAATTGGGCAAAAATAGATACCCGAGAACCGGCCCAAATAACTTATTCGGTCCTAATTCGGGTCAGTCCGGTCCGGGTTTCGGTTTCGGTTCGGGTATTCGGTCCAAACGCACATCCCTATATATAAGTTTTTTACATATACTAACCAAATTTACCAAATTTGCCAAATTTGTTTGTGATGCATGTATTGTTAAACAAATCGCGGTTATATAAATGGAATAGATATATGTTTTACTTTTCGTAATTAAATAATTTGCCATACAGCATATATTAAATTTCTGCAAATATTAAACAATTTTGCTGTATTTGTTTGTAACGTGTGTATCTTTCCAGATGAGTTAAATGGTATTTATTTATTTTATAAAGTATAAATACAACAGTTATATATGTTTTGATATTACACTAAAAAACTCAAGAGATTAGTTGCAATGTCAAAAGGGATTGTTTGTATCATGTGATCATGCAACTTCAGGATTGAAACTCATATGCATCTTATTTAAATAAGTTTGAATAAATAAAGGTATCCAGATATTTTGATTATCAGGTTTGTTTGTTAATAACTAGGTGTGTGACCCGTATGTTATACGAGTTTGATAAAACAAAAATTAAATATAAAAGTTTAAACAAAATTTTATTTAACTATGAAATTTAGATTTAAAATTTAAAATTTAAAATTTGAATTTAAAAGGAAACATATTAAATACTATATGAGTACTAATATTGTAATTTATTGGTTATTTTCAATTATGACAATTATTAATTGATGTTTAAATATAATATGTTAATTAAGAAAAGATAAACATATAAGAAAATAACAAATAGAAAAAACATTTAATCAAAAATACCAAAAAATGACATGTGTCCAAATTAATGAGAGAGTGACATGTGACAAAATTATTTTTATTTATTAGGGAGGATACGTGAACTAAAAAAATTTAACATCACAAACTCACAAACTCATAATCATCAATTTTAATATTAATATATACAAAAGTAACCAAATTATAAATACGAACCATCACATACAAACAATAAAAATGAAAAAGACATGTTAAATTAATAAAAATTAAATAATTTATAATATTCTAATCTTTTTATTCAAATTATAAATATAACTATAAAGTAAATTCAAATCAAAGAAAACAATATTTAGAAAAATCTTTGATATGAATATTATTGGGAATAATTTTAGCTTATTTTTAGTAAAAATAAGTTTAAAATAAACTTTTAACTATTTTATATTGGTGATGACATAAAATAATTGTTTTATTTAACATGATATTTAGACAAACGTACATAAATAGTCATTGTGGTTTTTTTAGATTGTATGCTTCATGTATAATTTTTTTTTTTGTAGATAGATAGTAGTTCATTTAGTTTCAGTTTCTTGCGTGAATGGTCATTGGCCTGTATAAAAAGACTAAAAAAACATTTTTTATTTTAATTTATATTCCATTTTAACTAACTTTAAATTAAAAAAATAAAAGACCCCACTATTAGAAAAACAACCTTTTACGACGCGCAATGTTTGTCGTAAAACGCTCAGACGACGCGCAAATGCGTGTCAAGGAAGACCCTGTCATAAAGAGAGACGACGCACATTTGCGCGTCGTCTATTTACGACGCGCATTTATGACACGCATTTACGACGCGCAGGTATGACACGCAATACGTATCAAGGAAGGCCCTGTCATAAAGGAAGATGACACGCATTTGCGTGTCGTATCCTTACGACGCACATGTTTATGACACACAATGCGTATCAAGGAACCCCTATCATAAATGAAGATGACACGCATTTGCGTGTCATAAACTTCAGTAACTATTTACGATATGCATTTACAACGCGTCTTTACGATACTTATTTACGCATAATACAAAAATATGTAAACAAATATATACCAAAACAATCAATTTCATCCAATAACATCATGTCAAAAAATTGTAATACATTGATATTAAGGGGATCTAATTGTACATTGTTATTAAGAGGTTTTTCCTAACTATATAACCTAATACTACATTGCTATTAAGGGACACCTTCTGCAATGTAATGCTATACAAACTAAAAAGATGATAAACATCAAATTCCAACTAAATAGAGTTGCATCTTGCCTTTCATAATTCTTTAAGACTAATGAACCCCTGCTCTGATAATTCTTGTGACCTGATCAAATAAAAGTTAAAAAATTAATATGCTAATATAATTATTAGAAGAATCAAACATGGAATGTTAGTTGTAAAAGACAAAATTACCCTTTTCTCCATCCAAAGAATGTTGGATTTGGAATAAATACACTACAATATGAATTACCTGATATCAACAATGACAAGAATACCCCCATACAAATGGTAAATATTACCTGCACACAATCAAGCAAAATGGAAGTTATTAACTTGATTCAGTCATTAAGCATGCCCACAATCAAGCAAAATGGAAGTTATTAAGTTTTGTAATTTGTAGTTCAGAGGAAGGGATTAAATGTTTACCTCTATAGTTATCCAAAATTAAAATGCAGTCAAACAAGGAAGAATGTAGAAAGTATCAGCAGTCGTAAGGTCAATGAACCAAGAGATGCCACCATTTTGGAAAGATGGGACCTTTTTCACCATGTTATGAATCTGCAAAACCAAATTGTCCAACAAAAATAAAACATGTGTCATCTTCCACATGATTAATGGATATAATGCAAACTAAGATTCATGGAGTATGACATTTTTAACTTACAACAAGAAAAAAGTTGACAAAGACGGGGCCTTGGATGAAAAGCCCCTTCAATGGAGTAAATGTACTAACACCATGCCTGCAAAAATATTAAATTTATTATTATAAGCATTGTCTATAACCATGTAAGTAACAGCTAATATCATGTCATGAACAACTTATACAGATCACACAATAAGGAACATGGACAAAAATATTAAATTTATTATTATAAGCGTTGTCTACTGTAGTGCTGACTAGACACACAATAAGGGAATGATATTGACCACTAAAAATAACCAAAATAGAAAAAGGATAAAGAAGCAACTAGTTTCTTATTTTCCCATCAACTGTGTGTGTCCGGTCCAGATAAATGATGTTTAAACTTTTTCACTTCAGGAGAGGAAAGGAGGACGAAATACATGTGGGGAAATTTGTATGAGGAAAGCCTCATTTTGCTGATTTTCTCTCTATTAAGTCCAAAAAAAAATTCATATACAGCTCACCAGATGATTGAGTCCTGTCCGTATTATATGTCCCTTAAGTCAACAAGAAACATCATCTGACTGTACATATAAATGCTTACAAGTGCATTGGATCAAGGTAAAGAGAAACGAGCTTACCCTTTGTAATGTTCCTCTAAGTGATGCCAGCTCCAATTTATCAAGTGGTAAATGTCGAACCTTGTTACACAAATGTTGGACACGTTATACAACACATCTAATGATTTAAGCGTAATCCAACAAAACCTTTTATCTCAAAATAGTAGAGGAAATCATAAGACATTATCTCTTTTATTTTAAGCGGTTCGAAATGTTATAAGGTAATGTTAGTTTTTATGAGAAAAAATGAAAACAAAAAAAAATTATAAGTTGATGAACTTTCACAAGTTAACATCAGTAGTGTGTTGACTGTATAAATAAATAAATACAAAGAGAAAAGAAGTGAGATAACTAATTACCGATGATCCGATACACGCTTTTCAGAATTAGATGCTGAGCTTAGAAGAGATTCAGAAAGAACTTTTAGTTTATCAATCTGCATAATCATTAAACAAAAAAAAAATTAACTTAACTGTTTAATGTTCTAGAGAGTAGTATAAACATCCAGGTTACACTAAATACCATCCCTTGAAGCAATTTCTACACATTTTTCTAAATTGGAAAACAAAAAGATACTATATATATCAAGTTTTTTCCTTCTCAACTTAAGGTGTAATTCATCTTCAAATCTTTTCCCCTCTGTATGCCTTTCTTTAGCTTATTCATAACTAAAGCATAAAGCATAAAGATAGGGACTTCAAGTTTGTTCCTAACCTTACAGTAACTGATAACAAAAGCTTACAAAATGGAAATTAGGGAAAATCTTACTTTACAAGCATGATCATTTGGTGTATCCCCACCGTTCAACAACTTCTTTTTAAGTAGAAGCGACTCTAGCCTACAACAAAGTCGAATGAGGGAAACAAATTCTTTTATAACCTGCAACAAGAAATGTCATATGACTTCAACAAAATTAAATGTAAGAGCACCTTGATATTCTTAAAAGTTCTATTGAATTTTGACCAATCTTGCAATGTTATTAGATTCTGTGAAAAGTTGACCCGTTGGGCCCCTATAGAAATTGTTAAAGACTAAAATATAAGATTGTTAACAAATTGTAATGAAAGATTTTATTAGCAAATTGATTTTTTTAAATTATAAATAATGTTATAAAATAATAATAATAATAATACCCATTGTCAATTTGTCGCCTTGGAGCTGTTGTAGCAATCATGAAATAAAGTCCACCAGGAGACCATTCGCTTGTTACTGACCATTCAACTTTAGTGGCTCCAAGTTGCTTTTTCTCAACATAGTCCCAGAAAGCCTGAACAATATTATATTATTACTCAAATGTCTAAAATAACCTTCAATTGTAATTCAAAACAAAACACTAAAAAAATGTGATAATGGGGAAAGATGATAAGCATACCATGTCACCTAGCAGGTTACCATATCCTGCAACACATATAACTAGAGTAACTTTTCAAACCCAAAACTGCAGCACAAACGCTTCACTGATGATGATACTATTTACATAGTTTAACTCCAAGATTTGTTTCTGATATCTGTTTGTCACTTTGTATGCTTCCAAGATTTGATGGAAGATGCGGAAAGTATTGTTTCAGGTGCCTTTGCAAAGTGGGAAACAATACTTTGTACTACAACTACCCTAGATCTAGTGTGGGCCCAAGTTCTCTCAGAACCTTTGTTGCGAAGGATTATTCTCATGTAATTTGTCTTCTACATCACAATAACAAAACTATTATCATTTAATAATTTTTTCAAAAAATGTTAACATACATAAACACCATTTTATCGATTTAGCTATACTTTTTATGATTATTATAATAATAGTTCAGAGGCTAAATGAATAAAAGTAACTGTTCATTGTGCATATTGATAAAATGGTAAAAGTAAGTTATTTTACACTTCTATAAAAATACACAAGAAAATGAGAGCATGTTGCATTTAGACTCTGAATCTTGTTACTGATTCTATTTATTTCACAGATTTATATTATGTCGATCTGTTCTTACCTGTTTCCGGCGTCGAGAAGAAAATGACCATTATGTCCGTGTGTGCTTACCAGAACTTCCCGATTCCGTCTCTCCCAACTCTGGAATCGTCCAATCCGCTGTTATGAAGCTTGCAGAGCATCTAAAGGTTTCACATTGTTTTCGGTTTGACAGTTTATAGCCATGATAGTGGTTCCCTGTTCCTGAGTATAATTAATTTAACCATCATAAGTGACAAGACATCTTCACAAGTGAGTGTATAAAGCAAAATTTGAAGTGACTAAATAACAACCTTACCAGCACTTCATCATCATAAAGTGAGAAAGCTTTTGATAAATCTAGGATCCTGTTCACAATTATATCATGGACTTCCTCCCCTCTAGTAAGATACAGCCTACATCCAGAAGAGGGGTAAAGATAACAACTAAATTTGATTGATATTCAAACCACATCATGTTTCGGAAGAACTTGTATGTTAGAAAATCCTTCTCAGTAAGCATTTATTCAACAATCAGCACACATAAAGGGTCAAAACAAATAAATCATAGAAGTAAGAAATATCACCCAAATAGCTCACGTAGTAGCAAGATTTCTTCCTTGTTTGGTGCTCCAACAATCTGAGTCAGACAAAAGAGTGAACCTGCGGTTAAACTCCATGAATCGGCAAAAATAATCAACTGATATAGTACTCAAAGAATGCATCATGAACTAAAGACAAACAAAAAGATTAAAATTCACATGAAATGACTTTAGGTGCCTTACTATTTATAAATGAATATTAATTACAAATACTAGAGAAGACTTTTCTGAGGATTACTTACCATAGACATTGTTATGTGTGGAAGTTTCCTTCAAACTTCAACATTGGATGATTTCTAGAATACCATTCTACACATGTGGTTTTAATTTGTCAAGAATGTGTGGTAGTATGTTTGTCAAGAATGGATGGTAGCATGTTTGTCAAGCTTGGATGGTAATAGACAATTGAATTCATACATTCATTTGCCTATAAAAGGAAATGAAACCAAGCTTATTAAAAAAACAACACACCTCAAATTACATCTTCATTTTTCTCTCATATTCATACAAATATATATTTGATATATTTGTTTTTCTTTCCTCTATCTCTGTAAACACTGAATATTATAGTAAATTGGTTCTCGGCTTCCTCCGCCCGTGGTTTTTCCCGATTTGGGTTTCCACGTAAATATCGCGTGTTTTTTCTTTTTATCGTTCGATTTATTCTTGGTTGATTATTCAAATAGTTTTATATTCCGTTGAATCGCTATCGTGATATTTGGGTTTTATACTTCGATCTTGAAGTTATCGATTATTTATTGTAGTCGATTTGTCTACAATTGGTATCAGAGCTATCCGGGTTTTCCGATAACGATTCGTAAAAAACTATTTTCAACCATGTCATCGATGAAGTACGATATTCCTTTACTTGACAGAAACACAAGATTCCCTCTCTGGCAAGTAAAGATGAAAGATGTGTTGATCCAAATGGATCTCCACAAAGCACTATTAGGAATGGAGAAAATGCCGGCAACTTGGTCGACTGAGGAAAAGGAGATGAAAGATCAGAAGGCGTCGTCGCAGATCCGACTGCATCTTTCTAACGACGTTCTCCAAGATGTGTTGAAAGAGACATCCGCAACGGCTCTCTGGCTAAAACTCGAGCAGCTACTTATGACGAAAAGCTTGCCCAACAAGCTACACTTGAAGCAACGACTTTTTAACCTAAAGATGGGTGAAGGTAGTTCTTTGTCTGATCACCTCTCTACCTTTAAAGAGCTTGTAGGAAATCTGGAGAATATGGACGTCAAATACGAAGATGAAGACTTGGCGTTATTTTTATTATCTTCTCTGCCAGACTCCTACGATCACTTTCGTGACACCATTATCTATTCTCGGGACACTCTTGTCCTTGACGAGGTAATGACTGCTCTTGATTCAAAGGAAAAGATGAAGCAGATAGTTGGGAACAGTAGCAGCGATTCTAAAGCCGAAGGTCTCAACATCAGAGGGAGACCTAACGAGAGAGGTAGCTCTTCTCAAAACCGATCTAGATCTAAGTCCAAAGCCAATCGCAAGTATTGCAATTATTGCCACAAGAAGGGACATCTGATCGATGAATGTTTCAAGTTAAAGAACAAGGAGAAAGCAAAGGCAATCGCAAAGGGAAAAACAACCAATAACACCGTTGAAGCCGATGTTGCCGAAACTGGTTCCGATGGCGAGCTTCTATCCGTTTCAGACTACGGTTTAATGACCACGAGTGAGTGGGTACTTGATTCAGCGTGTACTTTTCATATGAGCTCCAACCGAAGCGTTTTTCATTCATATGAAAAGGTTAAGGAAGGCCACGTTCTAATGGGTAACGACACTTCGTGTCGTATTATTGGACGGGGTACACTCAGGTTCCGCATGTTCGATGGCGTTGTTCGAACGATTCAAGATGTGAAGCACGTATCCGGTCTTAGGCGAAATTTACTAAGTCTCGGTACTTTCGAGAAGAAAGGTTACGAGTTTGTTGGCAAAGACGGGAAACTCCATATTTTCAAGGAAGGTTCTGTGGTCATCCGGGGAGTTAGAAAATCCGCAAATCTTTACATTATGGATGGGCAAGTTATCTCCGGCGAAGTATCGGTATGTTCTAAATCCCTCTCCAACGCTGATCGCTCTCGTCTATGGCACCTTAGGCTCGCTCACATGTCATACCATGGTATGAATGAACTAAGTCGAAGGGGGTTGCTCGGGGAGCACAAATCAATCGAACTTGAATTCTGTGAAGATTGTGTATTTGGAAAGCAGAAGCGAGTGAGTTTTATCGGTGGCAAACATACGACGAAAGGGCCACTTGACTACATACACTCTGATTTATGGGGACCAGCGAAGGTTACATCGAAAGGTGGAGCCTCTTATATGCTCACGATCATTGACGATTTCTCAAGAAAGGTATGGTCGTTCTTCTTGAAGTCAAAGGGAGAAGTATTCCAAACTTTTAGAGATTGGAAAGTATTGGTTGAAAAGCAATCAGGTTTTGAAGTGAAATACCTTCGTACTGATAATGGACTGGAATTTTGTTCTGAAGAATTCAACTCCTATTGCCGTAGGGAAGGAATTACGAGGCATCGCACCGTAGTTCATACACCACAGCAGAACGGCGTAGTGGAACGTATGAACTGCACCATCATGGAGAAGGTCCGATGCATGCTATCTCATTCGAAGTTGCCGAAGTCTTTTTGGGCCGAGGCCGCTTCAACCGCATGCTACATTATCAACTGTTCCCCTTCTCGTGCTATTCAAAAGAAGACCCCATTTGAGCTTTGGTCCGGCCAACCTGCTGATTACACGAAATTGATTCCATTTGGATGTCCAACATATGCCCGAGTTGATAACGGTAAATTGGAACCGAGGGCAATTAAATGCGTCTTTCTCGGATATCCGACAGGTGTTAAAGGGTTCAAATTATGGAGCCCGGAGCTAAGCAAGGTTTTGACATCTAAAGATGTGACATTCGATGAAAAAGCCATGCTTCATCCTATCTCCAACATTCAGACCAGAGAAAATGAAAATTCGGAAAAAGACAAAGTTCGAGTGGAGGTGGAGTTTCCTTTAAATTCATCTTTCGAGGACCAGTCTCATGAAGGTGTCGAGGTTTCTCAACCCTCGAATAATCAACATTCCTCTTCTCATGAGCCAGCCGAAGCTCCAAGCCAACCTCACAGTCCCTCCATTGCAAGAGATAGACCTCGCAGACAGATTGTACCTCCAAAGAGATATGTTCAAGCCAATTCTGTCGCTTATGCACTTACAGTTGCCAATGAAGTTGAGTCTGTTCTGGAGCCCACAAGCTACAACGAGGCCATTCAATCCAAACATTCTAATAAGTGGATGGTTGCCATGCACGAGGAGATGGAATCTCTTCAGAAAAATGGCACATGGGATCTCGTTCCACCTCCAAAGGGTAAGAAGATAGTTAAGTGCAAATGGGTCTACAAGTTGAAGGAGGCTATCCACCCTGGTGACAAACCAAGATATAAAGCTCGTTTGGTAGCCAAAGGCTACAGTCAAATCCCAGGTATCGATTATACCGACATTTTCTCTCCGGTTGTGAAACACACTTCAATACGTGTCTTGTTGGGATTAGTTGCCTCTCATGACTATGAATTAGAGCAACTTGATGTTACTACAGCATTCTTAAATGGTGTGCTTGAGGAAGAGATATATATGCAACAACCTGAAGATTTTGTAGCTCCTGGCAAGGAAAGCTACGTGTGCAAATTGAAGAAGTCTCTTTATGGCCTCAAGCAATCTCCTCGACAATGGTATAAAAGGTTTGACTCATTTATGACCAGTCACAAGCTGAAAAGGTGCACCTACGACAGCTGCATTTACTAAAAGTGTGACGATGGTTCAATGGTCTATCTACTTTTATACGTGGATGACATGTTAATTGCAGCGAAGAATATAAAGGAGATTCAAAAGATAAAAGACCAGTTGAATGCTGAGTTCGTTATGAAGGACTTGGGTGCTGCCAAGAAAATTCTAGGAATGGAAATAGTGCGAGACCGTAGTGCAAGAACTCTATACCTTTCTCAACAAAGCTACATTGAGAAGGTTCTGCACCGTTTCAATATGCATGACGCAAAAGAAGTCAGCACTCCTTTCGCAGCCCACTTCAAGCTATCATCCACCTTAAGTCCTACCACCGAAGAAGATATAACATACATGGCAAAGGTACCATACTCCAGCGCTGTAGGATCTCTTATGTATGCTATGATTTGTACACGTCCAGATTTGTCATATGCGGTAAGCATGGTGAGCAGATACATGGCGAATCCAGGAAAGGAGCATTGGGTTGCTGTTAAATGGATTTTTCGCTACTTGCGAGGTACTTCCTCTTTATGTCTGCGGTTTGGAAAAACCGATAATGGAGTACTTGGTTATGTGGATTCCGATTATGCAAAGGACTTGGATAAAAGACGATCGATTACAGGGTACGTGTTTACTTTGGGTGATTGCGCAGTTAGCTGGAAAGAGTAGTTACAATCTACTGTAGTGTTATCCACCACTGAAGCCGAATACATGGCTGCTACGGAAGCAGTGAAGGAAGCCCTCTGGTTGAAACGGTTGATAGGTGATCTTTCAAACAAGTTATCTGTTAACACTGTTTTTTGTGACAATCAAAGTGCAATATTTCTGACGAAGGATCAAATGTTCCATGATCGAACGAAGCATATTGATGTTCGTTATCACTTCATCAGAGATGTTATTGCTAAAGGCGATATTACAGTAAACAAGATCAGCACCAATGATAATCCTGCTGATATGTTCACTAAAAGTCTTCCAATAGCCAAATTCAAAGCATGTTTGGATTTGGTGGGTGTTTCAGATCGCATTTGAGCCTGATAGGCTCGTGGGGGAGGAAGTATATTTACTTTTCGAAATCAATTTTTTCTCATATGGTGTTTGCAGATTCTTATAGAGATTTGGAGTATGATGAGCTGTTGATAAACTGTTTTGCATGATCATTGTGCAAGTTAAAGTTTTTTTCATCCTGTCTCATTTGAAGTCAAGGTGGAGATTGTGGAAGTTTCCTTCAAACTTCAACATTGGATGATTTCTAGAATACCATTCTACACATGTGG